TAGAAGGCATATCTGTGGTTAAGTTAGAATTCAGCTCTGAGGTAAAAATTCACTTAGGAGGAAAATAAAAATGTCTAAAAGTAAAATTTGTCAAAAACCTCTGGTACTTTAATATAAAACCGACTAGGAGTAATACATCTGAAAATTTTTTATTTAGATCTGCTGAATCTTTAAAATTTTCATTGAGAAAGATCTCCAAATACAAAATAAAAATACTATAGTCTATGGTCATGGTAGCTTTGGGAAATATATCCATGTTAATGATGAATGTGTCTTAAGATAATATTCATGAGATCAAGTTTATGTATTATTAGAACTACAAAAAAAATAAGAAAAAATTTTACAATTTTGGAGCAAGCAATGAAATTGTTTCTATTACAATGGATTAAGCATGAGCACAATAAATACTATTGAATATTTATTTCATGGATACATTTTTTAAAATAGCTTATGAATCTCAAGTAAAAACAAGGGTGTTCCAGCAGATGTAGGCAATGAATAGTCGTCACCCCATACCAAGCAGATATTTAACTTGCTCAGTGCAAGTTCCCAAACTCTCTGTCCTCATTACGTGTTAGTCTTACAGCAAAAAAAAAACCCCTGAAAAACCATAATCCATTTAAAATTATTAATAATCTTGGACAGCAATAAAAAGGGACTTTAGTAATTAGGAAAAGTCTATGATATAATAGAAAAAAAAGCCGCTGAAATACAATTACCCTAACAAGTACTGGACTCATCTATGTCAAAAAAAATAATGTTTGTTATTACACTCCACAATACAGTCCTAGAATATTCACTAAGTAAGGCAAAACAAGGCAGAGTTGTAATAATCATAATATTAAATCGCTGTTGTTCAGCAAAGGTCAAGTTTTCCCTCTGCCTTGAAGTTTAAAGAAAAGACCAAAAAGAATACTCCGGGTCCTCACTGTCACACCCACCTTCAATTCTGTGTTCTGGGATGGGGCTTTAGGTGTGACAAAGAGCTAATAAGCTCCCTGGATAGCTGGACCTACTGTAATAAAACGGATCCCACACTAAAACAAGTTGTCTTATCCCAGGGATGGTAAGGGTTAGTATAATTGCTCTGACTCTATGTTTAACATCTTTTAATACATTCACCTGTATGCCAAGTAGTCCAGTAAATAGTCTCCCTAATGTTCCCCCAAGCACCATGCTTTTTCCTCTTTCTCTGCTTTTTTTCCAGCTGTGGTGCCCACCCTGCATGAAATCCTTCCCAGGCATCTCTGTCCAAGCTCCAGTGCTACTACTGAATATCATTATTTTCCCGGTCACACAAACATCTGTCTTCTTCAGAATCCCTCTAGTATTTATTTGCTCTTTCATCTTTCTAGTACAATAATCATATACTATCTTGGAATGTTTTTAAACTATTTCTCTTAATTATAATAATGTTTACTTAATACATGTTTGGTTTGCACCAAGTACTTTGCTAAACACATTTAACCTTTAAAGCAAACCCATGAATCAGAGTCTACCACAATTTCCATTTTGTGGATGAGGAAACAGACATACATAGTACACAAGGGCACAACCGCTCCTAAGCAGGAGAGCCTGCTCTCACATCTAAAGCTCTCTCTAAAGATCTTGTTCTTTGCCACTGTGAAATATGACCTCATGCAAATGCCTATTCTCCTCCACTAAACTGTAAGCTGAGGTCAAAGAGAGTGTCTTTTACTTTTTTCTACTTCTTTGGAATATCTCATAGGACTTAGCGTAGAGTTAGGCAGGTGTTAAGAGCTCTGTAGGAGGACATACAGAGACCATATCTAGGATATGTCCTACAGGGGTACATGAAATGTTCTATTGACTCTTTATTTGAATCATGCATTCTTAAAGTCCCAGTCAACCAAAGGCAGAAGCCTCTAGAAAGGAGATTTTTCACTGGAAGTCAGTCTTTATCTGTAAACTAGATATGGTCAGGGTGGCAAGCTCAGACACTCTTTCCTTTTCTAAAATTCATATTTTATTAGTTTTACTCAAGTCTCTCTTAAAATTTTGCAGTAAACAAAATGTTACTTTATATTCTAATTCTTTAATAACTGTGTATTTTGTTTCCATTATGTGGACAAATGTTTACAAACAAAGGAAACAAATAAAAGGTGCCTGTTTTTTCATAGTAAGCACAGTATTTAAAAGTGGGGCATACACCCACATCACTCTCTGCAGAAAAATTGCAATAAAGCAAGAGCACAGCTGACTGAGGGGCCATTTCTTCTCCACACTCATAACTGTGATGCCTCACAAAGAATAGCAGAGGTGTTGGTAGGGGGAAAGTCATTTGAAAGAAATTAAGATAAAACTAACTTAATATACCCATATATAATTAACATGAAGGTCTTTCACTAGCTTCATGGCATTCTATGGAAAGGGGAACACAAACAATAAAAAGCACCCCCGTCTACAAGTTCATTATTAAGTAATGCCACCATTCAGATACACAGTGGGTTGACCATAATTCTGCATCAGAATGTTGGTAACACTGATAATTCAAGCTTCTGCCACATGGCCAAAGAGTCAGCCAAGCCATTAATGGAATTGCATTCCTACCATAGGGAGTTGGGGGAGGGAGGTCCATCATTCCGAATATTACACACTTCCCTAACACTGACTCAGATGATTAACTGTCTCAGCTCTTCATCAAATCAGCACTCAATCACTTAGGAAGGCAATTCTCTTCATCTCAACTCCTACTTTACATTCCCATAAAATGCAAAAGTGCATATTGCACTACTGTCACATAATTTAAATGAAAAGAAAAAAAATCAATAATTTGCTCCACAGCATAGTTTCTTACTGGCAACTTCAATGAATATGCCAATAATTTTGGCCCCTCACCCATACACTCCTTAAACACAAAACACAGCTATTCTAAAGATATTAAGGTTTGGGGTGTTTGTTGTTTTTATTTTTAAGGAGAATATAAATAGGATAAAATATAGATTTCAAAATATCCATTTTTGATTTATAGTTACACTGTTGGACCCTTCTGAGATGATAAATATACTAAACATTCTGAACCATGGTTGTCCCGCCACGTATAAATAAACTTTTCAGTAGCAATGCTTGTATAAAAGAGAACTGCCAAGTTATCATTAATATGTACAATATAATGGGTTAGAATGTAAGCTGAAGAGAGCAAGGTAAAATTACAGCATTTTGTGAAAATAAGTAATGCAAAACCAGCTGAAATGTTCAATTATTAACAGTGGTTCTGAAGCTAATTCAACTTTCCCATTGATGTAAACCACAAACAGAATCGCATACTATGTCTCTCTGTAAACACATTCAGGATTCCTATAAAACGGATAAGAAGGGGTACGGGTATCTGCTAAAGGCTAAAACACAGCGAATGCTATCTAAATGGTATATTTACAAGCCTGTGGAATATAACCTCATTTTTCCAAAAGCTGTCTAACCACTACCCTGCTTAAGAGTTAACCCATGATGAACAAAAGTCCATCTCTTCTACCCTTTTGCTTCCTATTTTCCCAAACCATTCTTCCTTGGTGTTTTGTATGAGCAAAACATTCCATAAATAAGGCTGTGGTGCACAAGCATTAAAGTTTACAGAGTTTCTGCCTTTGAAGTAGGTAGTGACAGGACCAAGGAGACATGGGTTCAATTCCAAGCCAAATATTAGGCGGGTGGTTTGAAAATGTCAATCCAAAGAGGCCTAGAGGAAAAGAATACAAGCTTCCACTGCCACCACCCTTTCTCTTCCCCTCCCCTCTTTCTCTCTTGTTCCCATCCTCTCTTCTCTTTCGTTGTGGTTTCTCACGGAGACAATCAAAGCAAGGAAAGCTGGATTTTAAATTAGTGAAACACACACTGGGAATATGTAATTCCCGGGAGAAAAAAAGAAACTGCTGAAAAGGGGTGTGGGGGACTGTTGGCAACATGTCTAAGTGACAACCCTCCCCACCCCCACCCTAATAGAGCACAAATCCATAGATTCTTCTTGGATCCCCTTCTCCTTCCAGTTCCCAGTACTCTATGCAACTTGACCCTTCATCCTAATAATTTAGGGACCCGCAGGGCATTCGCGTTCAAGAGTGTGTCTCTCAGTATATGCGCCCAATTTTGTGGAAACCCCTGAATCCGGACAGTTGTAGCAGGCAAGGGATGCTCCCACCCTCCCGCCGGGGAAGGGGTGAAGAAAGGGGGAGAAAAGGGATGGAGACAAGAGGAAAGGGATGCAGAGCTGCGCTCTAGGGCGAGTGGCTGAAAGGAAGACAGGGAAGAAAGAAAGGGTGGGAAGGAAGTGGGGCTGGGAGAGAGGAAGAAAGGGATGAAAGAAAGGCTGGAAGGGAGAAAGGAGGGGAGAGGAGAGAGGGATGTTGGGAAGGATGAGGGAGGGAGGGCTGGGGAGCGGGGAGGGAGGGGAGGATGGAGAGGATGGGAGGGAGGCAGGGAGGGAGGGAGGCAGGCTAGGATGGAGGATGCTCTGCCCGGGACTCACCTCTGTGGGTCGGTGGGAGTTTCTCGCCTCCTCCTCTTTCTCGCCGGTTCGCAGCAGCTGGAGTGGTAATCACAGAAGCGGCTGGAGCGGCGGCGGCGGGTACAAGGGCAGCAGCTGCTGCAGCCGCCTCTGGCCGAGGTGCGGTGCCGCCTGCTCTGCCCGCCCGCCCGGGTCTCCGCCTCACTCGGGGCTGGAAGCGAAGCCGCTCCCCCCTCCCCCCGCCCGCCCCGCGTCCTGCCCAAGCGCGAGCGGCAGCGGCCAGGATCGCCGCTAGGGGAGGTGGACAGTGCGCATGCGCGGCCGCTCACTCGCTCGCGCGCCCCCGCGGCCCCCGCGGCTCCACGGGGCTGGGAAAGGCACGGCGGGGCGCGGGCGCGCGCGGCCTGGGGAGAGCCCGAAAGGGCGGGGCGGGGCGGGGCGGAGCTAGGGAGGCGCGGCTGGCTCTGCGCGCAGGTGGGGGGAGGGGACCTCGAAGGGGCACCACCGCTGTAGGGCGCAGGTGCCGTGTCCATGACAACCGCGTTACCCTGCGAGCGGGGACCCGGAGCTGACTCGCTGGAGCCCTAAGGCCCGCAGAGAGGCACCAGGGTCAGGAGAGGGACAGAGGGATGAGGGGTGTCGCAGAGTAGGACAGAAGGGCCAACCCCGCGGCGTCCGACACGTGGCAGGTGGAGGGCAGGGCAGAGAGCAGCGAACGAAGGTGGCGACTGACGCGGAAGGGAGGTTTGTTGGGACCTGGGGACCCGAAGGGAGGAGGAATGTACTTTAAAAGAACAGAGAAGAGGATGGAAGTGTGAAAACAAATGGAATATTTGCTCATTTAACAAGCCTTTGTTGAATGTTATATCCGTGGAAAGCATTATGACTCTTTTATTGATGCAAATGATATTACCGAGCCCCTAATTTGTACCAGGCACTCTAGTTGGGCTTTCTGAGATAGTCAGAAGGTGTTGAGACCCAGGGTTTGTCCTCTTAAAGGTTATACCCTAGTTGGGGAACTTACATAGAGAGGGCAGAGAGTATATGCCCTGCCAGCCACTAACTGGGACTTGGTGGTGGAATGTAACTGTTACAGAGGTGCTAGAAGTGAAAGAGGAACACAGCTACATCGAATGTGAAACATAAGTTACAATCATCTTTGTTCTGCCACAGTGCCATTCATAACAATTTTTGTTTTGTTTTAAACCAAGAGAGAAAAATAAAGACAAAGAAAATCTATAGCAGTTGTGTATGACACAACTGATGTTGCATTCACAACGTGCTGTCTGGTATCTTCGCCCACTAGCATCAATGCGCTTGTTCATGCTGATACTTGCGGAGCTCTATGTCACTTGGTGCACGTGCTATTTTAGTTTAGTTTAGTTTAGCTTAGTTTCCTTCATCGTTGTCTGTGTCAGCTATTTTTCCATCCTCCCCCTTGTTCCCAAATTGGCATCTGCAATTGTTTGAAAATTATGTCAAACCCAAGTGTGTTTTTTTTCTCTCCATGCAATGACTTGAGAGCAGCACCTCTGTCCATTCCCCTACCTTTCTCGTCCAACATATTCTTGGCTTTCTGTTTTCTTGTCACCACCACTTTACCAATTTAAAAATCCCTGGGGAAAAGCGGAAACGAATCACTAGATGTAAGCTTAAGAAAAATCTTACCCTACGACGCTGTTTCAGGACCATGGACAGTAGCACCACGTGCTCCTACTGCCAAGCAGTTTTTCTTGGGCTCTGCCTATAGAATGGGAGGAACAAGCTAAAGAAGGTGCAGGATGTGCTACAAGAAGTAAGTGCAGAGCACCAAATGATTTGTGCCAGAAGATATGAACAGAGTGGAAAAAAGAAAAGAAAAAAACATACCATGGAATAGTGTAGGTAGGAAGTAGGCCTTCAGCTAGATTTTGAAGAAAGAATGGATAAGATTTGGAGGCGTCACAAGATGGGGATAGTTTAGCCAGCAAGGTCATTAAGATGGGGATAGTTTAGCAAGTGAGATACTTAAATAAAATGGATACTGCATACTACTATTACATGGTATCCTTTTGGAGGCAGAGGACACCTCTGATTTTAAATGGTCCAAAAATGTGGAAATGATAAAGTAGTCTTCATTTAAAAGAGGCAGAACACGCACAAAAAGATTGACAGTTTTTTGTTGTTACTGTGATTTTTCAATCTCTGATCAGGCTGGAGAGGGTAAACTAAAAAATACAGGCCAAAGAGTAATCAGACAAGTTCATCTCTTTAAAGTTCAAAGGGTTCATTTATAACATTTTGTATTAATTAGTGTTACATTTATAACTCTTTGTTTTAATTGGCACCAAACACAAAGAAAAATAATGTAGACCAAGTACTCTCTTGTCAAAATGAGATTTCCCTCGTTTTTGTTTTATTGTGACTTTCAAAACCATATTATTGAGAGACATTTAAAAGTCATTTGTAAAATATCTGGAAGCTTTTTTCCATGCAATTGCTTTAAATTATAGTTAATAAAAAAATAATAGCATAAAAGCCATTCTTGGTTTCTTAGACCCTTAGCCTCCTTCATTCTCCTTCAAAATGCACCAAACTGTTGCCTGTCAATCAGATAGCGATAAGAAATAACTCAGGCAATACATTTAAGTCATCAGCAGGCAAAATGGCAGCTGAGATTTTTGTTCCCTTCCTTCAAGGAATTTACTAATTCTTTTATATGTTTTGAATTAAGGTGACCCCCTACTCCTAACCCCTCAACCCTGTAGAAAATCCAAATTGAGTATTACTTTAGCCATATTTATTTTTCTCTGATAGTCTAAATATACTTGTAAATAATGGCTATCATTAGATACTAAAAAGCTATCATTTTGTTTGTTCCTATACTAAACCCAGGGTACTTTTTTAACCTTTATTTATTTTGTTTGAGACTGCTTGTGATTCTGTTTTCAACTTTCTTGATTTAAGTGTTGTCCTTCATTTCAATGATATAAACATATACAGCTCTCAGAAAAACACGCAGTTTTTTCCTTCCCCACTCATAGTAAAGATTTATGCCAACATAAATAACAAAGTGAGCATTGTTAAATGTATAGTATAGTGTTCAAGTGGAGAAAATACTGTATGTAATTAAAATCTAATTCAAAATGCAAGAGTATGACATCTAGATTTTTAGAAGAGACTTCAATACTAACAATCTGAAGTGAAATTATCCAAAGTGTTTATAATTTAAATGTCAAGACTAGGACCCTCATTCAGTCTGTCACCTCCAGAAATTTTTCTATCAAGTCTTCCTGAGCAATTTCATTTTTAAACTTTAATTTTTAGAGCAGTTTTAGGTTCACAGCAAAACTGAGTGGAAAGTACAGAGAGCTCCCACACAAGCACAACCTCCCCCACTATTAATCTCCGATTCCACAGTAGTACATTTGTTATAATTGATGAATCTACATTGAAACATCAATGTCAGAAAACTTTATAGTTTACATTAGAGCTCACTCTTGGTTTTGTACATTTTATGGGTTTTGAAAAAAAGCATAATGACATGTATCCACCATTTCAACATCATCGAGAATAGTTTCACTGCCCTAAAAATCCTCTGTACTGTGTCTATTCATCTCTTCCTCCTCCTGAACCCCTGGAAACCACAGGCTTTTTTACTGTCTCTGCAATTTTGCCTTTTCCAGAATGTCATATAGTTAGAGTCATACAATATGTAGCCTTTTTCAGATTGGTTTCTCTCACTTAGTAAAATGCATATAAGATTCCTCCCTGTATTTTCATGGCTTGATATCTCTTTTCTTTGTAGCACTGAATAATATTATATTGTCTGGATGTACCATAGTTTATCCATTCATCTAATGAAGGATATCTTGGTTGCTTCTAAATTTTTTGCAATTATGAATGAAACTGCAATAGCAATTTCATCTTTTAAGGGCCTCCTAAACATGATTGACCTTGTCACTGTTTTTGTTGTATATCAGTTGTACCCTAGGTTTTATCTGTACATGGTCCAGCTTGTTCTCATGAATCCAACAGCAGGTTTCTTCTCTTATCTAAGAAACACATAACCAATGAAACCCTCAGTTTTGTTGTTTCTATGTATAGCTTTCACTATTTAAATAATATATAATAATTTATTTCAGAATTCTTGTTTTATACCACTAATTTCTAACTCTAACTTTTCTTTTTTCAGGCATATTATTTGATTTTCTAGGTAATTGTGTGTGCATAGGGTAATAGTGGATATATGTATAAACCATTCATATGTGTGCAAGTGAACATAATGAGTATTTTAGGAGCCATGTGTAAATCTTTTTCCTTTTGCATGTTGAAACATTTCAACTGCAACATTATATAGGTAGAATGCAGTAGGCAGAATAATGGACCCACCCCCCAGAGATTTCCATGCCCCAATCCCTTGAGCCTGGGTCTATGTTATATTAAATGGCAAATTACTTTGCAGATGCAATTAAGTTAGGGAATTTTAGAAGGGGAGATTATCCTGGATTACCAGATGGGCTTAATCTAATCTTGCATGCTCTTAAAAGTGGAGATCCTTTATCTGGCCAGAGTCAAAAGAGATGCATCAGAAAGATGAGGCAGATGGAGAAGGGTCAGAGAGATCCTAAGAGTGACTTTACTGGCTTTGCTGGCCTTAAAAGGGGGCCACAACCCAGAGAATGAGGGCAGCCTCTAAACACTGACAATAAACCCAGGATAATAGACAGCAAGGAAACTAGAACCTCAATCCTACAACCACCTGTAAATGAATTCCACCAACCTGAAGCACCCCAGAAATGAATTGTTTGCTCATGCATCCAAAAAGCAACACAGACCTGTCAACACTTTAATAATGGCCTTTTGAGACTCTAGGCAGAGAAACTCATCTAGCCCAGTATATTTCTGAACTACAGAACTGTGAGATACAAAATTTGTTCTGTTTTAAGGGGCTAAATATGTGGTAATTTGTTATAGCAGCAATAGAAAGCTAATACATAAAGATTATATGTCAATTAACTTATCTTCAAAAAATAAAAAGGAGTAACCTCATTGGATGGCACCTATGAGTGCTTTTAAATACCAGCTTTTCCATATTTTTGTCTGTGATGTTGGATAAGTTTTGTAATATCTATAGGATTTTGTTTCCTAGTCTGTAAAATAGAGATGATTTTTATCTATCTTCCATTCTTGTAAGAAGTGAATGAAATAATCCTTACTAAATTCCAGTAAACTACTGTCTATAGAGATTGTACAGTTTCTTAATTAAATTAGTTTTTTAATATGAATGCATAAATGAATCAGGAATTAAAATAAGGTTATTACTCAGTATCTTTTGACCACTTTCAATCTGTTTCTGTTATCTTTTATTTCCAATTAATCTTTTATGAAAGAAAGAAGGCCAGGCACAATGGCTTATGTCTGTAATCCCAGTGCATTAGGAGAACAAAGTGGGAGGATCTCTTGAGGCCATGAGTTCAAGACTAGCCTGGGCAACATAGTGAGATCCTGTAATTAAAATAAATAAATAAATAAATAAATAAAAATAAAAAAGGGAGAAAGAATAACCTATAATATGTCTTGTATTAAATGTGTCACTTTCATCTTTCAGGTTCCCTAATAGACCCACTTTCCCTTTAAGAGAAATCTTGGGCCGCTACTGTTTATATAAATTTTAAAATTGTATCATTTTACTTTCAGTTGTCACCCTGGAGCACCTTTTTCTGAACTCTGTCAAAAGGAGGAATAGTTCTGGTCTGAATTCT